TAACTAAGGGGAAGGAGGGAAAATAGAAGGGGTTAAACTGCAGCATCAAAAAGGAAAACAATTTGTTTTTCTATTTTAATAAGAGACACATAATCACAGACTATCCAATAATACATGTACCCTTGCTGAAGAGCTGCTGATATTCTACATTAACCTTTGATAGTGAGAAGTGTATTTCCCCTACTGTTTTCCACAATAAATTACATTATATCTGGCATCCAAAGCTCTAGGAAGTGTTCAGCCAGCTGGAAGCACCAGATTGGCCCAACATCCCTAACGTTCAGATTATAAATAAAGGGTACCTCATACTGCTTGTGTAACAAAAACAAGAAATGCAGAGGAAGGGCAACTTCCCCCCTGCCCACAGAAGCAAAAAGAGTCAGTTGGGGAATGAAAAACAGGAATTCCAGAGGGCAGGGTTTCTGCAGTGACATGCAGTCCCCAGCACTCCAACGCTCAGACAAATGCAGGACTTCAGTAGAGAAATAAGACTTCACCATTTGCATGTTTACTGAGGATTTGCACATTAAAAAAAGCCAAGGGGAAGTATATCTGGCTCTGCTCTTCCCAGATGGTATAACCACACAAACACAGGCTCACACAGACACATATCTTCCCACTCTTTAGGCAGCATTGTCTGTTCTCTTCCAGCCGTGAAAATAATTAGCTCAACCACAACCTCAGTTTCAGAGGATGTGGTCAAATGTGGCATGCTGCATGTTTCTCCCACGCCCTCAAATCAAGGGGTATTATGGCTATAAGTATGTAACAGCACTGTGATAAAGTTGAGGAAAACCCTGCCTGTTATAATCTGGAAGGTGAAGATATCAAATAGGAAGAGAACAAAAGACAGTCCCAAGACACAAACTCCAATATCTGAGAAAGGTTATAAATGGGCTTTTTGGGTCCAACTGTTCTCAAGGAAATCACTTCATTAGCTTCAGTGGGAGCACAACTGAACCAGGGCTGAGAGCTGCTCAACCAATTCTACAGATGGAAAAATTAACCTAATCTATTTATTCTAAGCGCTAGACTATGGTGGTCCCTGGTGAGGATGTAATGGGAAGTCAGATACAAGGAGCTGTTCTCCTCACCATTTCTTTTTGGTAGGGGCTGGCCACAGCTGCAGTGCCTGTGCTCTCCTGAGGGCAAGAATTAGCCCCAAATTGGTATATTCCATCTTCATTACTCCAGCTATTATATAAACATGGCTATATGCTTGCTTACTTAAGCTGAAAAATGGAAAAGAGGAATTAAAATTAAGGTTAATAGAGCCAGACAGAGTATTCCCCATTTACTTTGCCCTCACCATGGCTGCTTCAACCCTTCTCCCTTGAGTGGATGCTTTCCCCCACAAAAGCACTGTTTTTCTCTTTTCCTCTGTTCTCCCTTCCCTTATTTTTTCCATGGTGCCCTCTTCTCTCCCTCTGTTACTGCTGCTTGGGCTGTTTAATTTTCTCTATTTAATGTGCAGCTTGAAATTTTTGATGGACAGGCGCTATCTCTCCCATATCTATTACACCACAGGTAACAGCTCTGAAGAATTTTGTTGATATTATTTTGGAAATTTGCTTTGTCTTTGATGAATTTCATGACTGGAAGAATCTTGAAACTGGGCAAAGAAATGGCCAGAAAAATGTCTGCCATTGTCTACCCATCTCTCTCTCTCCCTAAAGTTGGTCTATGCCTTATTCTGAAAATTTCCATTTAATTCCCCTTTAGGCAACTGAGATGCTGCCTGAAAAGCCTCTGATCTGTTGGGATTTGTAGGCCTGGAAGGGTTGCTGAGGTGAAACACATGCCACAGAATAAATCAGATGCCCTGATTTATTTCAGGAACATGTATTCGTGCTCCTCAGAGGGACAGAGGGGAGGCTGAGTGTAAGAATCACAAGTTTGGTACTGGTTGTACATCCCAGGTTTAGACATCTCTTTCATGTTGTAGTGGCTGATGCTTCCCACTCAAAAGGTAGTTTGTTCAAATCCAGTTGTTGTCCCTCAAAAGATTGTTTGGATTTTTTTAAAGAAATGGTGCTCCATCCCCCCAAAAAATAGCACAGCTGTACTGTTTTTCTCTAACAGTCATTCTACCAGTATGAGATTTTTCTAAGAAAATAAAGACACAGAGAAAAAGTTTTGAAGAAAGAGGCAGACCCACAGCATTGCATCCATGCTTGTTTTTTCACTGTTGGGGACAACTTTCTGCACAGCTTGTTTAAGGATTCTGGATAGTGTAGTCCCAGCAGACATTTCCTGTACTAAGATGTATTCTCATTAGAGTTACCAAAAGGGAGTATTCAAAACATTATTTATCTGCATATAATCACTGTATCACGCCATGTATCCTTTATTTTAATTCCTACTCACTTGCTAATTACACACCACACTGAAGGTCTCACAACTGCTCCCCTTTCAGCAGCTTTGTTTGCAAAGTGTCTGGCAATAATCTCCCAGCAGTGTATTATCATGCCCTTTTCATCACACTATTTAATCAATAGGGTAATGACCTCATATAATCTAGTTCCAGGACCTAGCCATGCCATGCTAAATAAATGAAACAAACAAAACTCTGGGCTACATGCCTCCTGTTTTAAAACCCTGGATGTGAACCATTCCAGCATTAAAAATTATTATAACATATAGAAATGGCAAATTCTTCACATCTCTTGCCAGAAAAAAAAAAAGAAGAAAAAAAAAAAAAAGAAAAAAAAACCCCAAACCATTCTACAGTACTGTGGGGAAATAGCTGCTTTCTTTAAACTGACATAATTGCAAAACATGTGTGCTCTTGGTCAAGTGTTCACAGGAAGATTTATACTGATAACACTGGAAACAACCCTTTCCCCCATTATTTCACATCATCACTTACAGGACCGAATGGTGACCATCACAGCTAATGGGATGAAATCACATGCAGCATACTTCCAAAGCAGAGGCTGGAACCAGCATTCTTTTCAAAAGGACTTCTGGTGCAGTGAGCAGAAGGAAAGCAGCTTCTCTCTATTTCCTGAGCTGTAAACTCACAAAGTGTGGTTCACTTTGATTTGCTTTCTGTGTCTGGATTATGCTCAGTCTAATAAAGTGCATGTGAGATGTGCTTAGTAATGTGTGAACCCTGGAGCACATGTAGCATCACTCTAGTGCAGCAATTCTCTTGTCCAGAGGAATGGGGGTAGTAAATTGAGTCTGTCTGCTCTTTTTAACCACCACTTTTCTAATACTAGTAGGAATTTAATTTCAGAAAAAAAATTTTTTTACATTGAATTTTGTTGTAACTCATCAACTGAGAGAGGAACATGACTGACTATCTGGCACATGGAGTGACTGCATATCCCTTCTATTCTTTGGGAAATCAGGGCGAAACATCAACAAGTTTCCCCTCACAAAACCTCTGACAAAATAGCTAGGAGAGAAAAGAAACTGTTTTCATGACATTAACACAGCTGGAGTAGTTCATGGACATATGAAAAGAGGATGAGTATGCATTAGAAGAAGGATAAACCACATAATTTCGTGTTCCCATGGCATTATCACCATACACTGCTTTCACACGAATGGACATCCCTCCTCACTATATAGTGTGAAAGCAAGAAAAATAGTTTTTAATCTGTTTTATCCCAGATATTAACTGAAACCAACCATATACCTTGAGACAAATTTTTACTGGAAATTTTTCACTGCACCAATGCCACTTAGGTTCTTTTGGCACCTTCCTTTTAGGTGTGTTATGAAAATGACAATGTGCCAGTCATCCAAGCTGTCGGCACCAGCTAAAATCTGTTCTGAGGCAGAGTAATTTACACTTGGATGAACACCTCCCAAGAAGTAATCATGTAAATACCTTCATGATGAAATGCAACTCATTGCTGGTTAGGTAACTCCTATAATGAGCCTAAGTGTGATCTGTCCCAATGATCTGAAATGCCTTCAGTGCAAATATTCTTTTAATATGATGTAGGAGATGTTGGAGGGGTAACTACATAGTGCTGTGAAGCACTTGCTGTGTTGCAAGATATTAGTTCTGGACTACAAAACAGCATTTTGGAAAATATTCTCTCAAAACATCCTATATGACACTAGTCTGGCAAAGTAGGAATTTGAAAAAAACCAGCACCCTCAGAACCCTAATGAACTGAAACTCTCCAACTGGCCCATTTGGCAGCCTGACCCCTGCAAAGCTATTACCTTTACTTCTGATACAGAGGAAGAAACAGGAGACAATAGCAAAAAATGAAGGAAGCTATAAGACTAAGGAAAGAGAAGAAAGAAAATTCCAGACACCTCCAACTGAGGTGAATTAACTTCCACCAGTGGGTGGTTTCACTAGACATTAACTTGATCCCTGATACTTTTCAGAAGGCTCAGAATTGGGCAGTGTGAAATATCATTGCCAGGTGACACCACCTTGCCCTCCCATCAAAATCTGTTCTTGGATTACCCGGAAAGAAGAACATATCATTGAACTATTTCTCTAATCCATCTTTACAGAAAATAAATTATTCCTATAATTGTTGACATTTCAGTCCACCATTTGTTAAGTACAAGAAATCCTGATGCATCCTATGAAAGGATACACTTCTACAATGGCAACACATCCCTTCAACAGATGAACAGGAGTGGCTGGAATGAAATATAAGACCCTCTGTCCTTTGAAGTGCTACTCAAAATCTGGCAGAGGGATCAGGCAGAACAGGATGGCAATGACTTGCCTTCCCAGTTCACCTTATGAAGGTAAATTAGCATTTTTGTAATTCAATTTCCACCAGTAGTTTCCAAAATGACCTTGACTTAAACAGTCCTGCAAAAGTATTTCTTCTCTGTCAGGTAGTTTTGAGTTTTGGGAAGTCTGCATATCAGGAAAACACCATTGTGTACATTTTCTCCTATTGCTTTAGTTCTGTAAGCATTCTTTTAATTTGAAGGCAAAACTCCTTATTCCAGAGCATTCTGCTTATGCAACAATATTAAATACAAAAGATCAGTTGGTTTTCATCTCTTACCATGCAAGTAGTACAAGGTCACAGCCTTCCCTTCAGCCCTGGAAGCCTTTCTGCAGTCAGAGGGCAACAGACTACCTTGGTCTGTCTGTTTTCTACCAGACATCTCTATTTTACAAAGAGAAAGAAATAAGAAAGATGAAGAAAAATCAAAAATGTGGTAACTTTTCCTCAGGTATTAAAACACAAAAAGTTTAAAGCCATGCATGTTTGGAAAGAGAAATATATAATCTAATATATTTATGAAATGTTTTACTTTAAGCCCTAAAAAAAACAAAACAAAACAAAACAAAACAAAAATTAAAAACAAACAAAAACCACCAAACCAAACCAAAAAATTAACTTTAAAACCCCAAACCCATTACCTCCATTGTGCAGGTTGCAGGACTTAACTTGCAGGTTCCATGCAGGACAAGGTGCATGGAAAGGACATCTTATCAGAAATGGCTCTAAGTCATCCAGAGACCTCCTGGTGTCTGATCAAGGATTGAAGGAGTACCTCAGAGAAAAGTCCATCTGATGTAGATGGGGTGGAAACAAATAAAAAAATCTAAGACATCAGAGCATCAGATTTTTCACAGTTTGGATGTGTGTCAAAATGAAAGTAAAAAAAGTAGGGATTTGATAAAAGGATCTGATAAAAAAAGCAAAAGAGGCATATAAGTGATAACTAACCTGATAGAGAACTAAAAGGGATAATCAAATTTAAGTTGATCCACATGGGTTTCTGGAAAGCAGATTTTGTCTAGCTAAATTGATACCATTTTCTGATGTGATTATAAATGGGACTGCTAAAGGCAACCATCTTGATAGATGCCTGTAAGAGAACTGGCTTTACATCACACCACAGTTTGACTGAAAAGCTAAAAAGCATAAGAGATGGGATTCATCCACATTAATTATAGCTGTCTAAAAGTTTGGCAGCTTGTCTTAACTTCGCTATGTTCCCATTATAGTCTATGAGAAGAAAAAGACACTGTCAAAAAGTGATTTGTGTTTTTTCAGATAAGTCCACTACATCGTTCTGCAAAGGTCTCTGTCTCTCTCTGTTGACTATTAAGAGCTTAGAAAACTAGCAATCCTTAGAAACTAATTTTTGGATGGCTAAAATGAAATCAGAATAGCATCCTAAACTACTTATAAACTGTGTAGCAGATACATCTAACCCATCATTATGTGACTGGGGAACAAGGCACCAGTATTGGAATTGGCTCTTGACCCCCAGACTACTTTTCACTTTTTTTAAAAAACAAAAAACACATTTTCACAATATGAGAAGTTGACTAAAAAATGGAAAATAATGGAGAAGAGAGTTGGATTAGGAGGCTGTAACCAGACATTATGTACTTCAGTGTAGCTAACAGGAAGGCCATGGATCAAGGAATTAGTACAATGAGACAGATTTAATGAGGGAAGACTTGACTCTGGAAAAAAGAGATCCCACAGAGGAGGCAATGTTTTGGGAACAGAGGCCATGACAAGCAACCAGATTACTATGAATTTTTAGAGCACTGCTAGAGTACCACTAAGAGTACTGAATTTTTAGAGTAACAAAAAGCTATACTCATCAGATGTATGAACAATAATAAATGGGAGTAGGGAGGTTGAATTATCTTATTTTACATCAGTGAAATGACTAGTAGTTTCACTATGTTCCTGGTGTTGTTTTGAGAAAGACTATGAAAATTTCCATAGATTATGAGGAAGCCAGGGGAACAATTACAGTATTAGCAAACATGTCTTACTACAAGAGACTCAAGGCACTCAATCAATTAACTTATCAAAGTAAAAGTTAAAGAATTATTTGATCACAGGCTACAAGTGCCTCCCACAGGGAACAAAAAATTGATAATAGAGGGCTCTTCAATCTAGCAGACAGAGAAAGAATAAGATCAAAAGGCTAGAAGTTCTAGCAAGACTAATTCAGTCTAAAAATAAGGTGCAAATTTTAAACATTTAGGGAATAACTTGAAATAACTTGCCAAGAAGTATGACTTATTTTCTGTCAGCAGAAAATAAGTTTTAATCAACTCTTGGCCTTATTAGAACTTTCTATTTCTAAGCTTATTAATACATTAATTCTAAGACTCTCAGAACATTACTATAGAGAAAAAGAATACATGTCGTAAGTTGGGAAGTGTTCACTGCAATTCATAAACAGCCAAGGGATTTATTTTGCATTTAACCACCAACTGACAGACCGTCTACCATGAAGCTTCCCTAAGTGAAACACCTTCTTACTACTCTACACTGTGCAAACCTTTTTGATTAATGAGTACTAACTCAAAATGGATTGCACTAAAATTAGGAAGCAGGAAGAAATCATAATTTGCAATTATCCCTTGCAGAAATTCCTCAGTACACTACTTTTGAGTAATTTTAGGCATACCATTGTTTTCCAAATGGAAACGTAAAACACAAATCACAACATGGTAAAGATCTCTCAGTAGGCAATTAAAAATTAATCAGCTAATTAGATCAAATGAAGAAGAAAATAAGGCTCAGAAAGACATCCATTCTAATTAACATAATATAAAGCTACAAAAGACTTTTTCAGACAAAAAAAAAATTGTCTTTATTCAAAATATCAAACCAATCAATAAAAGGAAACAAAGTTATTTCTTACCTTGTTATCCCCATGACCAAAGCCAAAAGGAAATGACAGTAATAGTGAGTCAACTGCCTGTGCAACTGTATTAATTTCGTATTATTTCTAATCTTGTTAACTATTTGAATCCATAATTTAACCAGCTTGTATTAAATTTATGGGGATTCTACCTATATTGTGCTTGCTCTATACTTGCGTGTCTCTTAAGAATCTTCTAAGTTCTTAAAAACAAAACTAATGTGATCAAAAATCTCACCTAGGTTTCTTCTTAGCTAGGTGACTTCTAACTAAAGCACAGGCCTTTACTGTGGAGACAGAGGATGTTAAAATAAGAAAAAAAGTAGAGGGATTCTTAAGTCTATGTTGGGGATGATAACATATACTCTCAAGGAAGGAAATAGCATTATAGGACACCTTATTGAATAAACCTCACTGGTTAAGCGGAAATGCTCAGGCAATCAGACAAGGAATGGGGCATGGTTGAACCTAATTAGATAGATTGCACAGATTAAAAATACCTGCTATTATAGGATAGTTCCTAAAATATTTTTTCAAATGTCATATTACTCCAGGAAATACCAACCACCTCAACATTCCGGCTGGCGTCACAGGACATATGCCACAGACTTCTGGGCACACCAGGAAATTTGGCATCTGGGAGATGATCACGACTCCCAGCAATCCAGTGCAGCAAACATGGGGATGGTTCTCTGCATTCCCCACAAGTAGAGCATTGTGCAGCCCTTCACACATCTTAATGTGTTATCCACATTCATAATACCCAGTGACCCTTTCCCAAGCAAACATAGCTTCCCTGTCCATCTCATGAGACAGGCCTCCAAGGTTTGGGAACAATCCTTGCACATGAGCTGCATGAGGTGCAGTGTTACAGGCCAGGCAGGACACAGCTGTGTTATTTATTTTTTTGGGGGAGGGAAAAAAAATCTAGAAAGTGTGCGCAATGGTTTAGAAGCAGGCTTTGCAAACCAATTCCACAATGAATGTATTTCACTTTGATCACCCTTTCTAGCCCGTAACAAAATTGAGGCAGTATTTTGTTTTGCAGAAATTAGTACCTTCAAGACCTGCAGTGGATTTATTATTTCTGCTAGGGCTTGCACTTCCTTTCTGATCCATGGCTGTAAAATCCAGAGGGACAGAACAGCACAGAAAATTACTGCAAAGATGTAGTGTGACATAGGAAGAGTCAGAGGCATTATGTGTGAACAACACGACAAAAGGAAAAGCCATCTGAAAATAAATGAAAAAATTAATAATAAAAAGGGTGTCTAATTCTTATCTGGGCACTTGTTTGCTCAGTCTATGAATTTGGATGACCAAGCCATGGCATATAAAGCTGGAAGGGACACTGGGCCCAGAACTCAATCCTGCTTTAAGGAAGGCACCATTCTTCAAGGAATGCTTGATGAAGCAATCATTCCAGAAAAAGAAATTCTTCCACCAGAAAACAAGTGAGGCATCAGAAACACAAATTTTTCTCTTGTTTCATTCCTGAAATCAGGGCTCTAAAATTCCAAGTCAAACCTCCATATCTAGTACAAGCTTGATCTTGTCACCAAAACAGATAATAATGGCAGTTAGGGCACCTGTAGGACCATGAGGAACCAGACCTAGACTTCAAATAATTATACAGTGATTACAAAACCACCATCAGAAGAGGGCAACTTCTAATCACTCTAATATTAAAATCAGCAGCAGTTTGTGTGGCATAATAAGAGTCACACACACACACATGGAATAGGGAGACTTCATTGTTAAGCATTTCCATGTAAACTGTGACTTATAGTTAATGGAATACAGACTCAAAGGATAATGCATAGAACTTATAAAATGAAAGCCTCAGAAAAGGCACTTTCAGAACAGAAGTAATAGAAGTTGTTTTTTCAATCGCAAGCAATGAATCCTCAACACAAAAATAGTCTATCCAGAAATTGCTGAGTATATTGGAGAAACATAGAGAATGACTGTGTTTGGAGAACTTCATACTAGTTTGAAAATCGATTTTTTAGTAAGCTATTTAGACTAAACATTCTTCTGGAACAGATGTATCATCAAAAGCAAAATCTGCTTTAAATAAATAAGCAGTGTACATTTTCTTCTCCAGAATTCATGATCAAAAAGCTCTCCTGTCTGACCATCCACTGCTTTGTGTTTGGTAGCTGACAAAATACTCCACTAATTTACACCGTAGCATGTGAGAGTTTTAGCGAGTTGAGGTCTGAAATACAGCTCAGTTTTTGTCACTGATGAAAAAAAATTCATCTACAGGATATATGGCAGATCAATATTTTCCAGGCTTTCCAAACAAGCTGGAAACCTATTCTTTCCTGTTCTTTAAAGAACTCTCTAACTTGTTTTCCTATAAGGAATGAAAAAAATCCAGAGACTAAGAGAACAGAATAGAAAAAACTATTTGTCACTACTTGATAGCCTGGAGCTATAATACAGCAGGATCAACAGATTCAAGCAAAGCAAAACAAAAGTAAAGAAAATCTTGCTGCCATAATTTCTATGAACAGTTTTTGATCCTTGTTCATATCTTCTCTTCATATATTAACAATGAGGTAGTAGAGGGTGCCTCTCAGCTGGGAGAGCACATCCTCCATGCCACAGCAAACAATAATAGTATGGACATGAGTGAAAACCAGCGAGACACTCTGAAAGCTCCTTGGCACAAGGAGAGACACAGCAAATAACTGAGTGGATGGGTGATGACTGCCTCAAGACTCCTGCTGATCATTCCTCAGTGCAAGCCAGCACAACACTGACGTGCCCAAGTGATCACACCTGTCCCAAAGAAGCTGTTGAGCTGTCTCTAGGCAGCTGTGCACTGAAACTGACTGGCCCAGCTGAGGTCTAAGGCACAAGTCTCCACTGTTTTGCACAA